CATGCTTCAGTATTCCGGAAAATCTCGTTGGCCTGTTCTCCTTATCTAATATAAATATTGACCCTCTGATCATCACTCCTGTCGATCACACTGAGTAAAAAAAATGTGGATTTTCCACAGAGGGATTCATTATGATTTAATATAATACATATATATTTACTGGTGATGTACAGGGTTTTCATTGATCCATCAGATGCTTCTTTTCTTTCTGTTAAAATGTCTTTGATGTTTCACATGTCCTACTACACTGTAAAAAAAAAAATTGTAAAAAAACGGAAATTATCTGGGGACCAGAAAATGTCTGATTTAAAAAAGGAATCCAAACTATAACATATAATAAGTACCCTGTATCAAGATTGAGGCAAAACAAGTTAAATTTGACGTTTTTAGAGAGGTTTAGCAAAAACAAGTTCCAGGCGGAATAAGCTTTCGGCACATTTGGGTACATCTGGTTCCATCAGTGCCATTTGACCTTTTTCAGGTACCAGACTATAAAAATGATGTATTACATTGAATTATCACCATAGGTATTCATTCCATCCAAAGAAACAAAATAAAAATAAAAAAAATTAATAAAGAAATTTGTGAAAAAAAAACAGGTTACCTTACCACAAGTAGCCTCTATTACTGTAATTTTACATGAAATATTTTTCTTTTAACATATATTATTTGTTAGAATAGAGTCATACACCTCTAGAAAACAGAATAATTATCTTTAAAAAATGATAAAGAAAAGCTAAAATACGGAAAATTACTTTTATTATTACAAAAAAGTACCGTATATCTAAGACCATTTACAAGTAAAACACAAAGAAAAGAACGGCATTTTACTTTGCAAAAGCCTTAGTTTACATTAACTATCACATTTTGGCCAAAAAAATCTGTCATTTTAAGAGAAATGTTTCTATAATTCCGTTAAATCTTTTTCTTTTAACATATATTAATTGTTAGAATAGAGTCATACACCTCTAGAAAAACTGAATACAAATTTTTTTAGACAGAAGATTACTGTTGTTATTTTAAAAAATACCGTAAATTCAAGACTCAAGGCTTTATTGTCATTTGTACATTAGCTTCAGTCAATGAAAAACTGAAGTCCCAGGCTCCTCCAACAGTGCAACATATATATAGAACATAGAACAAATAAAATAGAATAGAGATAGTGCAAGAAGAGTCTATATGCAAGTAAACGGAATATGATTGCACTGCCGTACCAGGCCGTGATGCAGCCAGTCAGGATGCTCTCTATGGTGCACCTGTAGAAGATGCAGAGTATCCTGGAGTCCATGTTGAACTTCCTCAGCCTGCGGAACAATTCCCTCATAATGTCCAGGGACTTTTCACACGGAGAGAAAACATACACATGTTGAGAGGAAACTGCATTTTTTTAAAACCACCCATACGGACAAATTCCAATTATTATTTAGAAACCAAATCCTGAATGGTTCTGAGCAGGACCTGTGAAGTGATGCTTGCTATTTCTTGTCATTGTAAAAGTTATTTCTTTTTGGTTGTTTTGTTTGGTTATAGCATCATTTTATATCTGTATTGTGCTCTGAATTCACACCCAACATGTTAATAACAGTCAACTTTTTTTATTTTTTATTTAACTCTATGGTTTTACACAGTTTTTATAACATGAAATTCACATATTAACAATTCAATCCTCAAAGTAATAAAAGTCAAAATGTGTTAAAATGTAGTTTTTTACTATAATAGGATAGTCAATACCTGTGTTTCAGTTTATCAATGTAAAGTAGGGGTTAAATTAAGCAACATTACAAAATATTTCTTTCTTTACTTATATTTTCTTGCAATTATACATTTTAAATGAGTATTAACAGTATTTGTTATGTATTTGACGTATAGCCATAACAAAAGTATTTTTTTGTAAAATTACAGAAAATGCAGCTAATTTTTCCAACAGAAAATCATTTATTGTTACGGTTAGTTTTGTTAAATTCGCATTTTAAAAACTGCTAACAAAACAGATAAACAAAGTATTCAATTTCTACAGTTTTCTTTTGTTAAAATACATCACACATTTCAATAAACCGTTTATTCTTGTAATTTTAAAATGATTTCCTGTAATTATGAAATACATGCTTTTTCAGCCATTGTTGATTACTTCTGTTTTTATCATATGTTTACACCACAGACCGTTGTAGGTCACATGGGTGTGGTTTAAGATATTTAGTCCAGCTGTTGTGTGATGGACAAAGAGGGGGATTTGGTTCCTTCTGTTCACTTTATGGTCTCGCTGTTATCGTTTGTTCTGTTTTCTGATTGAATCAGATGGAAGAAGACCTTCAGAACGGACTGCTGATTGGGAGTCAGGATCATAATCATATCCAGCCTCTTAACCAAATTCATTTAATAGGAATGTTGTTGCTACAATCTTATTGGTACTATCTTGCAAAGCCATACTTATTATTGAATTTCTTTGTTTATGCAATTTCCTTGTTTTACAATATTATGGTATATCTTGATACCTAACAATGTATTAAACAATCTGAGCTTTGAGTGCCAGTGAGTACATGAACATTAAACCAGTGCTACCAGATTGCACAGAGAAAGTGATTTGTGAGGACGCCTTCCAGTGGAGTTTAAAACAAACTGCAGTCTCTGGCCATATCTTCTACAGCACTGTGGACCCGGACATGTTGAATACTCTGAAGTTTTATGTTAGAAATGTTTAGTATGGGTCTCAAAATTAATCAAAATCGGTCCCTCGGGAATAAAGTATGGCCACTTTCTGGTTAACTGCCTTTGGGATCCTGTAGATATCAGAAATGGATTCATCATCCTCAATAATCCCCATGATCACTCCAATATTGTCCAAATCGGGCCTTTTCTGAACTATTGTCCATGTCCTGGAAATGTTGATACCCTGAAGTTTGATGTTAGAAATGTATAGTATGGGTCTCAGGCTAACGTGCATATGTCGAGCAGTTTGCACAATTAGCACAAGTTGTGTTAATTAGCATTAGTTCATGAACAGGATAGCTTCTGGATTCTGTACAAACTGATTGGCCATGGCACGAGGCAACCATTGGATAAAAAAAACTATGGACCTTTTTTCAAACTATATAAGCAATCTGTCCAACACAAAGGATCCAGCACCCTCTAAAACTTCAAAATCGACTCACAACTAATCACGGAGACTTTCTGGTTCAAACTGCCATTTGCATCCGGCCGTTTCTAAATGCTGTGGACCCGTACGGTACATTTCTATCATAAAACTTCGGGGAACTCTACATCTCCGGGTTCACAACAAGACCTAATGAGCTGGCAGGTAGACGGATATGAGGTCACGCTCTCAATGAATAACTACAGTCTGACGATGAAGCAGATAACAGGAATGTAGGAGCACAATGGAATCTAAATGGTTAAATTACTTTGTTAAATATCACTGGTACTTTTTTTTAGTGTTGTGTAGTTTTTGAGTTCAATCAAATCAGCAACTTCAGGCTTCCTTTTATCCAATCAGAGGGCTTCTTTATCTCAGTTTTAAACGCTATTCTTCACATCTTAATACAATTTCACAACATGGAAATGAAACCTCCCCACTGTAGATACTGAGAGGTGGAGCAACCCTGGAAGAGGAGGGCTGCAGCGTCACATTTCCTACAGTAAAAGATAAGGTTTGTCTGCAGTTCAGACAAGTCTCTGTTTCTCTCCAAAGAAACATTAACTGAATCTTCAACAACACAACAGGATCTCTGCCAAACATCGGTGAGTACCGCTACAATAGCACTATCTATATATATGATAGGATTGAGTTGAAAACAGAATCAGACTTTTTGATATCTGCTCTACCATTCATAAGAATATGACGGCAGTAAGGTTTATGGTTTTAGATTAGAAAGACTAGAACATCTTTTACCAAAACCAAGGTAAAAACCAAACCCTTGTTACTGAACTCCGGCTAATTGAGGTTAGACATAATTCAGTCACAGCTCTGAGTTTAACGTAGTTTATTTTCTCCCAACCTTTCTTTGCTGTAGTTGAAAAAACAGTTGTGATGATCAAATATGTAAGTGAGTTTGTTTTACTGCATAAAGAAGGCAGTCAGTTATATGACTTGCCCTTTGGATTGTCTGCAGTACAACATCAGATGTGTATATTGTATTACCTATAGAGACATTTATGGTTGAACAAGTATACAGCTGTTACACCCTTTGTGAGGTAGCTTTGAACTTCAAAAGAACATTTTGTATGGCGGTACAGCTGACAATAATCACTGTATTTCAACTACCTGTATGAATTAAAAAAGCTAAGCTCTACTTAGACTTGTTCTTTTCAGAGTTAAAGGGGCCTATTCTGCTCAAAGGTGGAGTAGGTAATTTTGGAGAAACCGGCTCGAGTGCGCTAGAATTTGAAAATACACAACCGGAGAAAATCTGCCACTTCCTTACAGAGCCCCTCCTCCAACACACACGAACGCGCACATGACCAATGAGGGCACGAGATAAGTTTGTGCACAGATGGAAGGCTGACAGGCAGGTAGGCCATCCAGTTATTTTAGCCGGGCCGGCTAAGATGATTGGTCGTGCTTTTTACAGTACTACAGCTTCCACAGATGACATTTTTTTATGGATTTTTTGTCAAAGCACTTCAGATATCCATTGCTATCGGGATGTTAAGAGCATTCCATGGAATATAACAAAAAGTGTATCTCGAGCCGGTTTCTCAAACTTACCTACCCCACCTTTAATGTTTAGTTTGATATTAGTATTTAGTGTCTCTAGAGTCTTTACGATATACCAATTTATTCCCCAGGAAGCTGAAGTTATTGTTTTTTTAATTAAGATCATCATGTCATCACTTTTCTTCAGAGTTGGTGATCTCATAAAGATAACACCGCTGAACTGCACGTCTGGTTGCTTCTTTACTGGGAGCAAAGTCCAGATCCTAGTAAGCTGTCTGAACCAGACGTTGAATACCCGAAGATTGCAGCAGAAATTCATCGACAGCCATAGGGTCCTCAGAGTGTAGACATGTCTGCTGCCAGCTGTCTGCTGACTGAAGATCAGTTTCTGTGCTCCATCTGTCTGGATGTGTTCACTGATCCAGTCGCCATACCATGTGGACACAACTTCTGTAAAGCCTGCATCTCTGAACACTGGGATATTGATGTCCAGTGTCAGTGTCCCAACTGCAAAGAGGATTTCGACAGAAGACCTGAACTACGCGTCAACACTTTCATCTCTGAGATGGCTGCTCAGTTCAGACAGTCAGCTCAACAGGAAGCCAGCAGCAGCAGCTCAGAGCAACAAGTTGTCAAACCAGGAGAAGCTCCCTGTGACGTCTGCACTGGAACCAGACTGAAGGCCCTGAAGTCCTGCCTGGTGTGTCTGGAGTCCTACTGTGAGACTCACCTGGAGCCTCACCTGACAAAGAAAGGCTTAAAAAGACATCAGCTGATCGACCCTGTGGAGAACCTGGAAGGAAGGATGTGTGTGAAGCACGATAAACTGCTGGAGCTGTTCTGTAAGACCGACCAGGTGTGTGTCTGCATGCTCTGCACCTATTCAGACCACAAGACACATGATGTTGTTCCTCTGAAAGAAGGATATGAAGGAAAGAAGGCTGAGCTGGGGAAGACAGAGGCTGACATTCAGCAGATGATCCAGAAGAGACGACTGAAGATTCAGGAGACGAAACGCTCAGTGGAGCTCAGTAAGGAAGGAGCAGACAGAGAGATAGCAGATGGTGTTCAGGTCTTCACCGCTCTGAAGGAGTTGATTGAGAAAAGCCAGGCCGAGCTCATCGACATGGTCAAAAGGGACCAAAGACTTTCAGAGGAACATGTTGAAGGCTTCATCAAAGAGCTGGAACAGGAAATCTCTGAGCTGAAGAAGAGAAGCTCTGAGGTGGAGCAGCTCTCACGCTCTGAAGACCAGCTCCACCTCCTCCAAAGCTTCACGTCCCTGAACGCTGCTCTATTCACTCATGACTCAACAGACGGCGATGTGTTCCTAGATAACTATGAGTATGAAGTTAGGACCGCTGTGGATAAACTGTTTGCTGAGTTTGGGCTGATGAGGGTCCAGCGTTATGAGGTGGATGTGACTCTTGATCCTGATACAGCACATCCCGGACTCATCCTGTCTGATGATGGAAAACAAGTTAAACTTGGTAATGTCAGGAAGAATGTACGAGACGATCCAGAGAGATTTAATAAATGTGCTAATGTCTTGGCAAAGCAGAGTTTCTCTTCAGGAAGGTTTTACTACGAGGTTCAGGTTAAAGGAAATACTGACTGGACTCTAGGAGTGGTCGGAGAGTCGATCGACAGGAAGGGAGACCTCACAGTGAGCCCTGAGAATGGTTTTTGGATGGTACGGTTGAGGAAGCAGAGCAGGGGTTACACTGCTGAACCTTCACTCAGTCTCTCTCGGTTATATTATTGTGAGAAGGTGGGGGTGTTTGTGGATTATGAGGAGGGTCTGGTCTCCTTTTATGATGTTGATGCTGCAGCTCTGATCTACTCCTTCACTGGCTGCTGCTTCACAGAGAAACTCTACCCATGCTTCAGTGCTTTGAAAACAAAAGTCTTACATCCATCAATTCAGGCTTATTATCTCCCTCTGATCATCACTCCTGTCGAAAACACAAAATAAAGCAAACTATGATTCAATAATATAAATGTAAATGTATTCATGACTTAAAGGTGTACACTTAATGTTTTCAGATGCACAGTCATGCACAGAGCAAGGCGGAAGGAATTCATTATCATTCAGGAGAATATTAAAGACAGGTTCATAATTGGTGTGTGTAACAATGAACTGTGAATCATGATGTGAGAAACTAAATGTAAACCAGGGTTCTTTATAAATACACTTATTGCTTTGAACTCAAAGAAAATAATTGACAATTTTACAATTCATGTCATTTAGAAAAGGATACATTTGCATGTCTGCTACTGATTGTTAAATGGTTGGTAAATCTGTGTGTTTAGATTGGATTCAGAGACTTTAAAGTATGTTAACCACAGGAAGGACAGCCACTGATCATGCTTCTCCTCATGGGGATCATAATAATCTAAAAAGAACACCTTATAAATATGACCTTTTTTCTTTAAATGAATAAATGAAAGAAAGAAAAGTGTGTATCGCGTTTCATTAAGACAAACATATCATATATAAGTATGATTTCATACCAATCTGCACAATGACTACTTTTACTGTCGCTACTTTCACTATATTTTGATGATAATACTTTTCTACTTTTACTTGAGTAACACTTTGAATGCAGGACTTTTACTGTAACAGAGTATTCCTACACTCTGGTACTTCTACTTTTACTCAAGAACAAGATCTACTGAGAGTACTGTAGTAAAAGTAGAAGTACTCAGATATTGTAGTTGAGTAAAAGTAGAAGTACTCACATCTTGTATTTGAGTAAAAGTAGAAGTACTCAGATCTTGTACTTGAGTAAAAGTAGAAGTACTCAGATCTTGTACTTGAGTAAAAGTAGAAGTATTCAGATCTTGTACTTGAGTAAAAGTAGAAGTACTCAGATCTTGTACTTGAGTAAAAGTAGAAGTACTCAGGTCTTGTACTTGAGTAAAAGTAGAAATACTCAGGTCTTGTACTTGAGTAAAGGTAGAAGTATTCAGATCTTTTACTTGAGTAAAAGTAGAAGTACTCAGATCTTGTACTTGAGTAAAAGTAGAAGTACCAGAGTGTAGGAATACTCTGTTACAGTAAAAGTCCTGCATTCAAAATGTTCCTCAAGTAAAAGTAGAAAAGTATTATCATCAAAATATAGTGAAAGTAGTGACAGTAAAAGTAGTGATTGTGCAGATTGGTCCATTTCAGAATAATATATATGATATGTTTTATAATGATTGATCATGAAAGTGTTCTCAAAGCTGGTAAAGATGCAGCTAGTTTGAATGACTTTGTATACTGCAGGGTAGCTTGTGGATTTACTCCAGGTGGAACTAAAGTCTGATTTAACACTTGATTATATTTCACATCATTCATCCACATCTGTGAAGTAACTAAAGGTATTAAATACATGTAGTGGAGTAAAAGTGCCCCATTTACCTCTGAACTGTAGTGTAGAATATAATGTAGCATGCAATGGAAATACTGAAGTTAAGTACAAGTACCTCAAAATGTACTTAAGTACTTGAGTAAATGTACTTAGTAACTTTACACCTCTGGTAAGGGGTCGTTATTTTACCAAATTACGGTACATATAAAGGGGTCTTTATAATGTAATGCCATTATTCCTTATTCATACACTAGGTGGCGGTATGTCCGTTTAAAGTTGGTTTCCGGTCTGGCAATAAACACAACAGTGCACGAAGAAGAAAAACGTCAAGGCGTTTTTTCCGCACTGGTACTGCGCATGCGCACTATGAGTAGTCCTTGGCTGTTCGGCCCGCTGTAGGTTACAGACACAGATCCGGAGTCAACATGCAGAGTTGGACGCAGGTTTACCGCTCTTTGGCCACGGTAAGAACACCTTTATTTACCCACTAACCACTATGTGTTGTCCGGATAGGTTTACTAATGGTCCCAGTTGTTGTTTCCACTGCTATCTCCAGATTTACGGACCCGGGCCTGTTAGCTTTCACCTCTGTTAAGTCGTATGAACGCCAGACTCGCTGAGAAAAACCTGCCATTTAAGAGTTGTAGTTGTGTTTGGTTACGAAATATATAATTTAATATGGGTTTTACACGTTTTTTCAACAACTGGAAATGTTAATTTAAATTCGGCTTAAGCAAAAATGACCTTAAATAGTCCCTAGTTTAATAAAAATGACTTCTTGAGTTGGTGAATATGGAGAGATGTAAGGTTGACGTTAGCATGCTAAGCTAGTTAGCACTGGTGGTTACCCAACATAGCTTATGTCAGAGGCTCAAGCACGCACCAGAACCAGAACCAGAACCAGAACCAGGTTTCTTGACAAGTGGGTTTACACATACTAGGAATTGGCCTTGGAGTACATGGTGCATACAGTTAAAGAAGATAACAAGTAAGAAAGAAACACAAGTAAATTAATAAAAACAATGATAAAAAACTATTACATGTTAAGATGTAGACAATTATTGACATGAAATCTAGATAAACTAAGTGCAGTATAGTATGACAAAGTACCCTGAATAATAGAATGTGTGCAGTGTTGTTATGAAAGCTGTGTAGATACTCAGAGAGGTAGCTTATGTACAAATAACAACATATATAGGGTTTAGCAGAACTGGCACTTCTTAAATGAAATGAATAAAAACAAGAAAGTGTATTAATGTAATATATAGCAAGTCTATATAGTGGCTGAGGTGTCAGTGGGGGTCCTGGGCCTTCTTAATGAAGAAGCTGTGTCCTCACACGACCTCAATATAATACTTTACTCCTGCATTTATAAGCTTTATTCTAGGGCTGTGCAATTAATCGTATTTTAATCTCGATTACGATTTTGGCTTGCAACGATTACGAAAACAACGTAATCAAAATAAAACTATTATTATTTTTTTATAAAAAAAAAAAAAAATGTAATTGTTTTAAAAAATGTTTTAATTTTGTTTTTGTTTTTCAGTTGAATTATACTTAAAGTTCAGGGTAATCAACTGTTAAAAACATACTGTTCACATTTTTGTTTCAATAAATGGATGTTTTCAAAGTAAATGGATAATCGTTTTTAATAATCGTGATATCAATTATTGACCAAAATAATCGTGATTAGGATTTTTGCCATAATCGCACAGCCCTACTTTATTCATTATTACTGTCAAATATTTCAATTTAATTTATGTTTGCTTGTCAACGTGCAAGCGCCGGAGTAGCCTGTTAAATCTTCTTTTAATCAGAATCACTATTAATCTGATTTTTGTAACAGATTATTTATCTGTCTTGGATTTGTTTCAGGGTATAAAAAGGTCTGTAAGTCGTTCTGTAAAGGAATAAGTCGTGGATACGTTTGTTTATAAAGTCGTTTTAATTGACTTTAATCTATTAAACACACATACTTATAGTCTACACATAAATATAGTAGTTTACACCTGTTCTCATTTGTTTGCCTCATGAGGAAGTGATATCAATTAGTTGCATTATGGATGATTTCTGTCACTGAATTGCATGATTTTTAAAAGCTTTTTTCACATTTTATTTGATGAGGACTCGCTAAATGATCAGGGCATGTCATACCAAGATATCCCAGACAACAATTATAGATTTCAGGTCCATTAAATGTCCCTTTTTAAATGGAGGAAACATGTCTTTCAGCGGCTGGATGAGGAAGTTAAAGTCAAGGAAATACACAAAATAAATATCAAGCAGTCTATTGTCAAGTCTGAGAAGCTTAAAGCTGGCAAGCCACTGATAAATAAACAATTAATTAAAAGAATAAAACGTTTTTGGATAATTCCAGTGCAGCGTTTGGTGTTTGGATCGTGACCTGGATTGTTTTGCGTTTTTCACAATCTTTTAAATGTTATTTTCTCACTTCTTTCCTCTTGTCTCTCAGCGGAGCCACCAGCTCCCCTGCAAACTGCACGGAGCGACAGCGCTGTCCGTCAGAAGCTACGCCGACAAAGCTGCAAGTAAGATCACAGAGTCTAATCATCCGTCTGATTTAAAGGTCACCTATTGGGCAACATGCTCTTCTTCATGGCTCTTCTTCATCAACATGTGTCCCCTCTTCTTCATGTCTCTTCTACATCAACATGTGTCCCCTCTTCTTCATGTCTCTTCTACATCAACATGTGTCCCCTCTTCTTCATGTCTCTTCTACATCAACATGTGTCCCCTCTTCTTCATGTCTCTTCTACATCAACATGTGTCCCCTCTTCTTCATGTCTCTTCTACATCAACATGTGTCCCCTCTTCTTCATGTCTCTTCTACATCAACATGTGTCCCTCTTCTTCATGTCTCTTCTACATCAACATGTGTCCCCTCTTCTTCATGTCTCTTCTACATCAACATGTGTCCCCTCTTCTTCATGTCTCTTCTACATCAACATGTGTCCCCTCTTCTTCATGTCTCTTCTACATCAACATGTGTCCCCTCTTCTTCATGTCTCTTCTACATCAACATGTGGTCCCCTCTTCTTCATGTCTCTTCTACATCAACATGTGTCCCCTCTTCTTCATGTCTCTTCTACATCAACATGTGTCCCCTCTTCTTCATGTCTCTTCTACATCAACATGTGTCCCCTCTTCTTCATGTCTCTTCTACATCAACATGTGTCCCCTCTTCTTCATGTCTCTTCTACATCAACATGTGTCCCCTCTTCTTCATGTCTCTTCTACATCAACATGTGTCCCCTCTTCTTCATGTCTCTTCTACATCAACATGTGTCCCCTCTTCTTCATGTCTCTTCTACATCAACATGTGTCCCCTCTTCTTCATGTCTCTTCTACATCAACATGTGTCCCCTCTTCTTCATGTCTCTTCTACATCAACATGTGTCCCCTCTTCTTCATGTCTCTTCTACATCAACATGTGTCCCCTCTTCTTCATGTCTCTTCTACATCAACATGTGTCCCCTCTTCTTCATGTCTCTTCTACATCAACATGTGTCCCCTCTTCTTCATGTCTCTTCTACATCAACATGTGTCCCCTCTTCTTCATGTCTCTTCTACATCAACATGTGTCCCCTCTTCTTCATGTCTCTTCTACATCAACATGTGTCCCCTCTTTCTTCATGTCTCTTCTACATCAACATGTGTCCCCTCTTCTTCATGTCTCTTCTAACATCAACATGTGTCCCCTCTTCTTCATGTCTCTTCTACATCAACATGTGTCCCCTCTTCTTCATGTCTCTTCTACATCAACATGTGTCCCCTCTTCTTCATGTCTCTTCTACATCAACATGTGTCCCCTCTTCTTCAGTCTCTTCTACATCAACATGTGTCCCCTCTTCTTCAAGTCTCTTCTACATCAACATGTGTCCCCTCTTCTTCATGTCTCTTCTTCATCAACATGTGTCCCCTCTCTTCATGTCTCTTCTTCATCAACATGTGTCCCCTCTTCTTCATGTCTCTTCTTCATCAACAGGTGTCCCCTCTTCTTCATGTCTCTTCTACATCAACATGTGTCCCCTCTTCTTCATGTCTCTTCTTCAACAGGTGTCCCCTCTTCTTCATGTCTCTTCTACATCAACATGTGTCCCCTCTTCTTCATGTCTCTTCTACATCAACATGTGTCCCCTCTTCTTCATGTCTCTTCTTCATCAACATGTGTCCCCTCTTCTTCATGTCTCTTCTACATCAACATGTGTCCCCTCTTCTTCATGTCTCTTCTACATCAACATGTGTCCCCTCTTCTCCATGTCTCTTCTACATCAACATGTGTCCCCTCTTCTTCATGTCTCTTCTACATCAACATGTGTCCCCTCTTCTTCATGTCTCTTCTACATCAACATGTGTCCCCTCTTCTTCATGTCTCTTCTACATCAACATGTGTCCCCTCTTCTTCAAGTCTCTTCTACATCAACATGTGTCCCCTCTTCTTCATGTCTCTTCTACATCAACATGTGTCCCCTCTTCTTCATGTCTCTTCTTCATCAACATGTGTCCCCTCTTCTTCATGTCTCTTCTACATCAACATGTGTCCCCTCTTCTTCATGTCTCTTCTTCATCATGTGTCCCCTCTTCTTCATGTCTCTTCTACATCAACATGTGTCCCCTCTTCTTCATGTCTCTTCTACATCAACATGTGTCCCCTCTTCTTCATGTCTCTTCTACATCAACATGTGTCCCCTCTTCTTCATGTCTCTTCTACATCAACATGTGTCCCCTCTTCTTCATGTCTCTTCTACATCAACATGTGTCCCCTCTTCTTCATGTCTCTTCTACATCAACACGTGTCCCCTCTTCTTCATGTCTCTTCTACATCAACATGTGTCCCCTCTTCTTCATGTCTCTTCTACATCAACATGTGTCCCCCAGGGCTGAAACAGAGGGGATTATGGGTAATGCTGCAATGATCTGTTTGGTGTTTCAGCCAATCAGAGACAGGCTCTGTATATATCTGAGACCTGTGATATATTGATGAAGAACAGTATAATAGGGGACCTTTAAAGCCGTGTTCTCGTATGAGATAAATCTTTTCAGTTTATACTTCCACAAAAATGCTAAACTTAATATTTAAATACAAAGACAACAACTGTCATGACACCTTAATTAAAGTACATACAGTTAATACAAATACATATGCATAATGGTAGTGATAATAACCTTCCTCATTAACGACCTCTTCTCTTATGAACTTTAGTCAGATGTGCGATAGTGTTGGTTTCCACATTCTCCAGACATTGGACCTCACGCTGATTGTTAAAAATAACGCATTTAAAAAGGGTCATACTGTGCTTTTCTTGGCTTTCCCTCTCCTCTAGTGTTTTATACAGGTTTTAGTGGATGTAAATGGTCTGCAGACGCTAAAATCCATGTGTTTCCCCTCCCTTTGTTTACTTCTGTAACACAGTGACATCGAAATAATGTGTATATAATATCCTGCTTTATATATTTTGTTTACTGTACATTTGTATTTCCTCATGCATATTTTCTACTTTTGCAATTCTACTTTATTTCTATTTGAGATCTTTACATTTTGAAGTGTTTATTTCGACTCTTTTAGTTTCTACCAGGGTTCGTGCGGTCATTAAACACCTGGAAAAGTAACTAAAATTGCATCAAATATAATTTATATTTTATCTAATCGCCGAAATAGTAATCAGAATCAGAAAACCTTTATTCGTCCCACAGAGGGGAAATGTACATTTGCTCCAGCAGAAAAAGAGCCGAAGACAGTTTAATGTTTAACAAGAAGTATGCATAAAAAACAGAAACAAATATTAAATCAGGGTGTCCGCGGGGTCTTAAAAAGTATTAAACGTTGATAAATCAATTTAGCGAAAATTAAGGCTATTAAAAAGTATTAAACGGCATTTTCCAAGGTGTTACATTTTGTAGCTAGTTTTCAATAAGTATATAAATTGTCCAAAGAGGTTGTATTCTACAGTCTGCCTGAATGTAATCATTGCGTAGGTGTGTAGTGTGATTCTGTGTAGTTTATTGATGGCATCCCGTTGGGTTTGATGTCATCTGAACAGGACATCGCACGCTCACTGCTTGATAGCGCGAAGCTCCGTTTACGCCGGTTAAACAACATCGTTATGGGGAAATGCAAGTCTGCGTCCAAATGGTTGGAAGATAAGGAGGAAGGACAATCAATACTGTATATAGTCAATGTGAGGTAAAGTGTGTCGCCAAGGTAACCGGTTAAAACTCAAAGTGGCGATGAGGTCTTAAAATGTATGGAAAGGGTCTTAAAAAAGATCCAAAAATACTTAAAGATCCAAAAATACTTAAAGTTCCAAAAATACTGTAAATTCCAAAAATACTTAAAGTTCCAAAAATACCGTAAATTCCAAATATACCGCAAATGGTTAGAAGATAAGGAGGAAGGACAATCAATACTGAATATAGTCAATGTGAGGTATTAAGTGTGTCGCCAAGGTAACCGGTTAAAACTCAAAGTGGTGGTGAGGTCTTAAAATGTATAGAAAGGGTCTTAAAAAAGGTCTTAAAAGGTCTTACATGTGACTTCAGGATTCCTGCATATACCCTGGAAAGATAAAAAATGTTTTTTTTTTTAAATAAAAAGAATTACACAATTTAGAAAATACACAGCCTGTAACAGTTCTGAAGAAGTAGCAGCCATATTGCACAGTTATTCACGGAATATATATATATATAATATATAATGATAATAAATACTGTATCGTATAGTAATGGCATTTAACTGATGAGGTGTTTTGCTGGTGAGAGATTTTAGTTGCTTTAGCGTATAGAAGCTAGTAAGCCTATTGGATTTGTTTTAGATAGGCACAACATGTTGCAGACCTTATTTTCCTGTTCCATGTTAAAATAAACCATTTTCAGTGGTACCGCTGAGAGTCATTTTTTTGGTCCTGGAAAATTAGGTAAAGGTCCTGGAGAAGTCATTGGTGAAAAAGTGTATGAACCCGGTTTTATGTGCAAATGCGTTGTAACATTTCAACATGTTTGCTTGTCAACGTGCCAGCGCCTGAGGAGTTTCTTTTTTATCAGAATCACCATTCATCCGTTTTTTGTAACAGAAATGTCCGTTATTTATCTCTCCTGGATTTGTTTCAGGGTTAAAAAAAAAAAAAAAAGGTCTATAATGTACTAAATAGTCGACGTAACACTCATGCGCTCCAACATATTGTACCTGATAGGCTAAGGGGCGGGACATCTCTGAGCTGTTGACCAATCACATCAGAGCCTGTTACGTTATGTGATGTTACAGATTATTGATGAGAGTTTCTGTGTTTCTGTAGTCGATGCAGACGTCACGGTGGTGGGTTCAGGGCCCGGAGGATACGTCGCCGCCATCAAAGCTGCACAGCTCGGCTTCAAGGTAAAAACAAAACAAAAACACCATGTCTGTTACTGTCAGAATGAGAATATTGGTCCTTCAAAACAAACAAAAAGTCAGTTACATATTGATGTGAAGCATGGCTAAATGCAACCTGTAATATAAAAGTAATATGTACAACGCCTTGTTTTTTATGCTGCTGCAATGCAAACATTTCCCTAATTGGATCAATAAATTACTTATTATCCTACCTACCTACCCGCCTACCCGCCTACCCACCCACCTACCCACCTACCCGCCTACACACCTACCTACCTACCTACCCACACACCTACCTACCTACCTACCCACCTACCCACCTACCTACCCACCTACCCACCCCTACCCACCCACCTACCCACCTACCCACCTACCTACCTACCCACCCACCTACCTACCCACCTACCTACCTACCTACCCACCTACCCACCTACCCACCTACCCACCTACCCACCTACCCACCTACCCACCTACCCACCTACCCACCTACCCACCTACCTACCTACCTACCCACCCACCCACCTACCCACCTACCTACCTACCCACCTACCTACCTACCTACCTACCTACCTACCTACCTACCTACCTACCTACCTACCTACCTACCTACCTACCTACCTACCTACCTACCTACCTACCTACCCACCTACCTACCTACCTACCTATTAAACATATTAAACGTCTACATTTGTACCGCGCCTCTCCCTCTGACAGACAGTCTGTGTGGAGAAAAATGCCACGCTGGGAGGCACCTGTCTGAACGTGGGCTGCATCCCCTCCAAGGTAACACACTGACTTTATTCCCATTGAAATGTTTAGTCTGAGATGCACGTGAAGCTGCAGCAAAATGATCCTTTAAAGCACATCTGGAAGTCTGGAAGAGTTGTACGCACTCATAAGATGCATCAAACGACTGAATAAATAAATAAATATGATGAAAAAGCATTACAAAAGTTCCTTAATGGATGTTTTGTGTTCGCAGGCTCTGCTGAATAACTCCTATCTGTACCACATGGCTCACGGCAAGGACTTTGAGAGCAGAGGCATCGAAAGTAAGAAACCTCAACAACGTGTTTAAAATAATTCAGTTTAACCCCGAGGAAGCTTTCAGATAGTGTTGTCCGTCTTGTCTGTCAAAATGCATCTTACGTTTCTAACTTGCAATATCATTATATTCCGAGAGCGATCTCTCTGTGTGCGGGGGGGGCGGGGGGCCTCTCTCTCTCTCTCTCTCTCTCTCTCTCTCTCTCTCTCTCTCTCTCTCTCTCTCTCTCTCTCTCTCTCTCTTTTCTGTGTGCGGGGGGAGGGGCCTCTCTCTCTCTCTCTCTTTCTGTGTGCGGGGGGAGGGGCCTCTCTCTCTCTCTCTTTCTGTGTGCGGGGGGCGGGGCCTCTCTCTCTTTCTGTGTGCGGGGGGGCGGGGCCTCTCTCTCTCTCTTTCTGTGTGCGGGGGGCGGGGCCTCTCTCTCTCTCTTTCTGTGTGTGGGGGCGGGGCCTCTCTCTCTCTTTCTGTGTGCGGGGGGCAGGGGGCGGGGCCTCTCTCTGTGTGCGGGGGGTGAGGCCTCTCTCTCTCTCTCTCTCTTTCTGTGTGCGGGGGGCGGGGCCTCACTCTCTCTGTGTGCGGGGGGCGGGGCCTCTCTCGCTCTCTCTCTCTCTCTCTCTCTCTTTCTGTGTGCGGGGGGCGGGGCCTCACTCTCTCTGTGTGCGGGGGGCGGGGCCTCTCTCTCTCTCTCTCTCTCTCTCTCTCTCGGGGGCGGGGCCTCACTCTCTCTCTCTCTCTCTCTCTCTGGGGGGTGGGGCCTAACAGACACGCTGCAGCGGCGTGCACACAGATTTTTAAGAGTAGTAGTTCCGTTAAAAACCGTAACGATACCCATCCCTAGATATTACTCAAATGTTAAGAGAGTGAAATGTTGCTTTACACATTTCCACACTTGATGCTGTCACCTTGATTCCAATTTCAGATTCCTGTATTTAACTGAATTAGTTTAAAGAGAGAATATTTTGACTAAAAGTTTCTTACAAAGAAATGAACAGTCTATATTTTTAATGGTAGGTTTATTTGACTAATGAGAGAGAGAGAATATCAAAAAGAAAATCCAGACATAAAAGATACAAACTGTGGGAAATAAGTATTTATATTATCCAAAAGATCAGCGCACTACACCACTGAGCCACAGCCTATAAACTGACCATTTGGACTGATAATTAAAATGTATTGATGAATGTGTTGTGCTGTGTTCAGTTGCAGGCCTCACGTTGAACCTGGAGAAGATGATGGCCCAGAAGAGCGGAGCGGTCAAAGCTCTGACCGGAGGAATCGCTCATCTCTTCAAACAGAACAAGGTCAGACTCCACTTCCCCTCCAACTGTTGTTCACTCACATCTTATCAATAGTCTGATCTAACCAGACTCACTGCACACTGTTTGTCCTGTTCACGCCGCAGCGGAGCCGGCTCTAAGCTCCGAAAACCGGTTCTTACCAAGCTAAAAAATATGGTCGGTCTAGAAGCAAGAACCGCATACGTCACGCTTACATCGGAGGCAGGGGCAGGGGCGGGATCACCCTCCTGAACAACAACAACAACAAGCCCACGTTTTGCCCTGTTTGGACACAACGATGGAAAACCCCAAACTTAAACCGTGGACCAGATTTGCAACAAACGTTAAGAAGGATTATCGGGACAAAAAGCGAGACCTCGGACGGAGTGGCAGCGGTCGTCCGAAAACAAGTCCACATTATGACTTGCTAGACTCTGTCAAAGAACATTTGAAAGTCGCGTGTGACGAATGGAAAGTTCCTGGTGAAGTCGTCGTATTCAATACAATCGGCCATTGTTGTTGTTGTTGTTGATGTGAGGGGTTTCCGCGCGGTTTGGCTTTATGAAGCAGGCATGTAAACGGTAACGTCATGACGCAAACGATGACGCAGCACCAGTCGGCCTCTGAGCGGTGGGAACAAAACGGGTCATCATTTCGCTCCGTTAGGAACCTTCCTGAGAGAAACAAGTGAAGTTAAATGTCTGTTCCCTTGTAATGTGATATTAGTCCTTGTTGATGTTTCAAATGGAGCTGCTCTGATGCAAGAAAACATTTCAGACTCGATCTGACAAAGTATTATCGCTAGGGATGTCCCGATCACCTTTTTTTGCTCCCGATCCGATTCCGATCATTTGATTTTGACAATCTGCCGATACCGATTTTTCCCGATCCGATCTTTATGCAATGCATTATGAGAAAAAAAAGGTAACAGATAACGGCTGGTCATCCAACGCGATGAATTCAGCTATCTTGGCTGTTCTTTTTTTGGCCTTTTCACTGTTCTGGGGCAGTTTCTCTTTCCTTTTAAAAGTCTCTGAAAGTGTCGGTTGTTTCAGTGCCGTTACCTGAGTGGCCGCTGTGTACTCGTCGTGTTGTTGTTGGTGTTTGTTTCTCAGGTGGCGTATTAGATTGGTCGTGTTGAACGTAGCTCTGTTCTTTCCACCACGCGGAACCTCCGCCTTGCAAACATTGCATCTGGCTGTTACACTGCCTTCGCTTTCAATTTTATAATACTTCCAAACTCCTGACATTTTCTCTGTCCCGACTCCCGAGGCACCAGCTGAACGTAGCCTCTTGTTAGCTTACTGCTACTATTAGACACTGCGCCCACTCTGTTGCCAGATTTGAGAGAAATAAGCAACCAGGTCGATGAAAACAAGCCCAAAAGAAGCAACACATACATGATGTTGTGTCATTTTAAACCAAAACTAAGGCCTCAGGATGACTTTAAGACGTGAACATGGTCATTTTTGTTTTGTAACATTAAATAAAATAATAGAAATATTTTTGAAAAAAAAAATAAAAAAAATCCCGATCCCCGATTTTTTTCTCCCGATTCCGATCTTTTGAAAATCACGTGATCGGCTCCGATCACGTGATCGGATCGGGACATCTCTAATTATCGCATCGTACGAAGATGACCGCAACAAAATGTCTATATTTCTAAAACATCAGTGTATTGTCCCGCTGTAGTATTCAATGTTGGGATGAATATAATAGTGAGAGTTGCCAAAGACATTTCGTTGTACTTTGTGTGATGACAATAAAGACATGTTCTCTTCTCTCCGTCAGGTGACCCATGTGAACGGATATGGGCGGATTTCGGGGAAAAACCAGGTGACGGCGGTGACGGCTGACGGCAGCGAGCAGGTCATCAACTCCAAAAACATCCTGATCGCCACCGGCTCCGAGGTCACACCTTTCCCCGGGATACTGGTACGCTTGATCGGTCATATAAAGTGATTGTAAATGTGTAATTTTGGACCAGCAGGAAAGTGAGAAGCTGTAAGCATGTTTGACCGTTTTGTGTGTTCCCTTTTTTACTTTAGATCGATGAGGAGACCGTGGTGTCGTCGACGGGAGCGTTGTCTCTGAACAAAGTTCCCGAAGAGATGATCGTGATCGGAGCCGGAGTCATCGGAGTGGAGCTGGTTAGCATCTCTTTAAAAACAGACCCAAACAATTCAATCTAAGTATTTTAGAGCTTCTATTGGTGCTTTTAGTAACGTGGGGAAACCCAGGAAGAAATCTTACAAATGTAGGGCAACATTTTACGAGAAAAGACATATTGTGCTCAGTGGAATACCACACACAAGGGGCCAAAAGTAGGTACAATTATTATTAACGTGCCCAAAACTTATTTCAGCTGCTTAATGGCCGATTTTGCAATTTGTCATAAAAACATGCCGGCATCAATAAAAGGAGTTGAGAACCTCGCAGGCGTTTAATCCTAGTGTTTCGGACATAAGGATGCACAATCTAATGTGTTCTAGTGAACGACTTATTTCTAAAAATACTGACTTTTTTAAAACAGAATTGACTTTCTAAAAGTCTCAAAATTCTGACTTTTCCCCCAAAAATCTGAGGTTTTGACTGTGTGTGTGTTCCCCTCCATGACTCTGTGTGTGTTCCCCTCCATGACTCTCTGTGTGTTCCCCTCCCTGACTGTGTGTGTGTTCCCCTCCATGACTCTGTGTGTGTTCCCCTCCCTGACTCTGTGTGTGTGTTCCCCTCCATGACTCTGTGTGTGTTCCCCTCCATGACTCTGTGTGTGTTCCCCTCCCTGACTGTGTGTGTGTTCCCCTCCATGACTCTGTGTGTGTTCCCCTCCCTGACTGTGTGTGTGTTCCCCTCCCTGACTCTGTGTGTGTTCCCCTCCCTGACTGTGTGTGTGTTCCCCTCCCTGACTCTGTGTGTGTTCCCCTCCTGACTCTGTGTGTGTTCCCCTCCCTGACTGTGTGTGTGTTCCCCTCCCTGACTCTGTGTGTGTTCCCCTCCCTGACTGTGTGTGTGTTCCCCTCCCTGACTCTGTGTGTGTTCCCCTCCCTGACTCTGTGTGTGTTCCCCTCCCTGACTCTGTGTGTGTTCCCCTCCCTGACTCTGTGTGTGTTCCCCTCCCTGACTGTGTGTGTGTTCCCCTCCCTGACTCTGTGTGTGTTCCCCTCCCTGACTGTGTGTGTGTTCCCCTCCCTGACTCTGTGTGTGTTCCCCTCCCTGACTCTGTGTGTGTTCCCCTCCCTGACTCTGTGTGTGTTCCCCTCCTGACTCTGTGTGTGTGTTCCCCTCCCTGACTCTGTGTGTGTGTTCCCCTCCCTGACTCTGTGTGTGTGTTCCCCTCCCTGACTCTGTGTGTGTTCCCCTCCCTGACTGTGTGTGTGTTCCCCTCCCTGACTCTGTGTGTGTTCCCCTCCCTGACTCTGTGTGTGTTCCCCTCCCTGACTCTGTGTGTGTGTTCCCCTCCCTGACTGTGTGTGTGTTCCCCTCCCTGACTCTGTGTGTGTTCCCCTCCCTGACTGTGTGTGTGTTCCCCTCCCTGACTCTGTGTGTGTTCCCCTCCCTGACTCTGTGTGTGTTCCCCTCCCTGACTCTGTGTGTGTGTTCCCCTCCCTGACTCTGTGTGTGTTCCCCTCCCTGACTCTGTGTGTGTTCCCCTCCCTGACTCTGTGTGTGTGTTCCCCTCCCTGACTCTGTGTGTGTTTCCCCTCCCTGACTCTGTGTGTGTTCCCCTCCCTGACTCTGTGTGTGTGTTCCCCTCCCTGACTCTGTGTGTGTGTTCCCCTCCCTGACTCTGTGTGTGTGTTCCCCTCCCTGACTGTGTGTGTGTTCCCCTCCCTGACTCTGTGTGTGTTCCCCTCTCTGACTCTGTGTGTGTTCCCCTCCCGTCCTGCAGGGGTCAGTGTGGCAGCGTCTGGGCTCTAAAGTGACGGCGGTGGAGTTCCTGGGTCACGTTGGAGGCATGGGGATCGATATGGAGATGTCTAAGACCTTCCAGAGGATTCTGCAGAAACAGGGCCTGAAGTTCAAACTCAGCACGAAAGTGATGGGCGCCACGCGCCGGCCCGACGGGAAGATCGACGTGGCGTGAGTCCAACTCCTTCTGTAGCCCGCCCCCTTTTCCCACTTCCTGTTCACATGGTTTATGTCTTAGTTCTTCCCGGTTTAGAACCAGCAGCTTTGTGAAGAGTTGTATATGGGATCATTCTCAGCTACACTGAGGTGATGGGATGGTTAGTGACATATGACAGTAAAATCTGATATGTGGACATTTTATTATAACTCTCACTGACAGAAGATAGAGGTCAATATACAGAAAACATTTCTTCATTTTGAGAAAAAGTCAGAATTTTGACATTTTTAGAAAAAGTCAGAATTTTTAGATTTTGAGAAAAAGTCAGAATTTTTGGATTTGGAGGAAAAAGTCAGAATTTTTAGATTTTGAGTAAAAAGTCCAAATTTTTGGATTTTCGGAAAAGTGAGATTTATAGAAAAAAGTCAGAACGTTGTGAAAAAGTCAGGATTTTGATTTTTTTTTCGAGATTTTGAGAACAATTTCAGAATACCAACACATAATAAGGTAGTGTGCAGCAGGAGGTCGGTAGCAGCCATGTTGTGACCCTGTGTGTGTGTTTCAGAGTGGAGGCAGCAGCTGGAGGGAAGAACCAGACCCTGACCTGCGACGTGCTGCTGGTGTGTGTCGGCAGACGGCCGTTCACTCAGAGCCTCGGCCTGGACTCTGTGGGCATCGAGCTGGACAACAGAGGGAGAATCCCCGTCAACGGGCGCTTCCAGACCAGCGTGCCCAGGTACCCTATAGCTACGTCTTATTCAAAGGTCACCTTTTATGCAAAATCCACTTCCTCATGTCTCTTCTTCATCAACATGTGTCCCCTCTTCTTCATGTCTCTTCTACATCAACATGTGTCCCCTCTTCTTCATGTCTCTTCTTCATCAACATGTGTCCCCTCTTCTTCATGTCTCTTCTACATCAACATGTGTCCCCTCTTCTTCATGTCTCTTCTACATCAACATGTGTCCCCTCTTCTTCATGTCTCTTCTACATCAACATGTGTCCCCTCTTCTTCATGTCTCTTCTACATCAACATGTGTCCCCTCTTCTTCATGTCTCTTCTACATCAACATGTGTCCCCTCTTCTTCATGTCTCTTCTACATCAACATGTGTCCCCTCTTCTTCATGTCTCTTCTTCATCAACATGTGTCCCCTCTTCTTCATGTCTCTTCTACATCAACATGTGTCCCCTCTTCTTCATGTCTCTTCTACATCACCATGTGTCCCCTCTTCTTCATGTCTCTTCTACATCAACATGTGTCCCCTCTTCTTCATGTCTCTTCTACATCAACATGTGTCCCCTCTTCCTCATGTCTCTTCTACATCAACATGTGTCCCCTCTTCTTCATGTCTCTTCTACATCAACATGTGTCCCCTCTTCTTCATGTCTCTTCTACATCAACATGTGTCCCCTCTTCTTCATGTCTCTTCTACATCAACATGTGTCCCCTCTTCTTCATGACTCTTCTACATCAACATGTGTCCCCTCTTCTTCATGTCTCTTCTACATCAACATGTGTCCCCTCTTCTTCATGTCTCTTCTACATCAACATGTGTCCCCTCTTCTTCATGTCTCTTCTACATCAACATGTGTCCCCTCTTCTTCATGTCTCTTCTACATCAACATGTGTCCCCTCTTCTTCATGTCTCTTCTACATCAACATGTGTCCCCTCTTCTTCATGTCTCTTCTACATCAACATGTGTCCCCTCTTCTTCATGTCTCTTCTACATCAACATGTGTCCCCTCTGTCTGAAAATGAGCTGATTTTGAGAGAAAGTCAGATATAGAGGATATAAAAAATGTTGCTTTCTCTCCTCTCTCTCTCTCGTTCAGTATTTTTGCGATCGGGGATGTGATCGCCGGCCCGATGTTGGCCCACAAAGCGGAGGACGAGGGCATCATCTGCGTGGAGGGCATGGCGGGCGGAGCCGTGCACATCGACTACAACTGCGTCCCCTCCGTCATCTACACCCACCCCGAGGTGGCCTGGGTGGGCAAGACTGAGGAGCAGCTCAAAGAGGAGGTGAGGGGGAAGAACTGGGAGATATATCAGTAGTTTGACCCTGAAGGCAGCATCGTTTATGATCCTTACACGTTCAGTCCAGCAGGATAATCTCCACATACTAACACCACTTTATGATTTCTGAAGTAAAAAGCTAATGTTGGGCTACAAAGGAACTACAGCACGGTCACATGACTTCACGTCACCACTGCTAAGCTAAAGGTGGCTAATGTTGGGCTACAAAGGAACTACAGCACGGTCACATGACTTCACGTCACCACCGCTAAGCTAAAGGTGGCTAATGTTGGGCTATAAAGGAACTACAGCACGGTCACATGACTTCACGTGACCACCGCTAAGCTAAAGGTGGCTAATGTTGGGCTATAAAGGAACTACAGCACGGTCACATGACTTCACGTCTCCACCGCTAAGCTAAAGGCGGCTAACGTTAGGCTATAAAGGAACTACAGCACGGTCACATGACTTCACGTGACCACCGCTAAGCTAAAGGTGGCTAATGTTGGGCTATAAAGGAACTACAGCACGGTAACATGACTTCACGTCTCCACCGCTAAGCTAAAGGTGGCTAATGTTAGGCTATAAAGGAAGGTTTTTTTTGGACCACTCTGTTAACTCTTACATATCTATCCCAGGGTTTTACTGCCTCGAGTCCAGCAGTGTTTTTTAACCTCTCTTCCTCCTCTTCCTCCTCTTCCTCTTCAGGGCGTCCCGTACAAAGTGGGAAAATTCCCCTTCGCCGCTAACAGCCGAGCGAAGACCAACAACGACACTGACGGCATGGTGAAGATCCTCAGCCACAAGGAGACAGACAGGATGCTGGGAGCTCACATCGTGGGGACGGTGAGAGCCTTTTGTTCTCGTTGATCAGTGCTTTAAAGGCTGAATGAAAGTAGAGTGAAGCACAATCTGCAGAAGCTCTATAGTTGACGTCGGTCTCTGTGAATAAAAGCTCCAGGTCATGTATTTTAATGTGATGTAATACTGTGTGCTCCCACCAGGGGGCAGGAGAGATTATTAATGAAGCTTGCCTGGCGATGGAGTACGGAGCTTCCTGTGAAGACATCGCCAGAGTCTGCCACGCACATCCTGTACGTTACACACACACACACTCACTCACTCACTCACTCACTCACTCACTCACTCACTCACTCACTCACTCACTCACTCACACACACATTCTCTCTCTCTCTCTCTCTCTCACACACACACAGAGATGGAGACACACACACACACACACACATACACTCACACACACAGACACACACACAGACACACACACCATAATAGATATCTGTACAGTGATTTTGCTTTTAACATCTGTTTACGATATAAAATGTTAAAAATCACTGACATTTTTGTTCCTCTTCCTCCTCTTCCTCCTCCTCCTCAGACGGTGTCGGAGGCCTTCAGAGAAGCGAACATCGCCGCCTCAACTGGGAAAGCGATCAACTTTTAATCCCGTTGTCTTCCCTTCAGTGTAAATAACGAGGAGACCTGTGTTATTTAAATGTTCTCACAATAAAAGAGGCTCCAGCGCTGACCTCAGATCAGTCTCTCTGCTCTGTACAAACACTGCAGAGAGCAGAGAGACTGACCTCAGATCAGTCTCTCTGCCCTCTACTAACACTGCAGAACATCACCACTTATTTACAGAACATAGAGATATAAATATTATTATTACCTTCCTGCCGGGTCGCTGTGCTTCCTCTCTTAAAGGAACAAGTGTTTTTGTTATTTTTACAGAATTGAACATGACGAAAGTGACGTGTGATCAGAGCAGGAAGATGCACGTTTTGCAGGTTGGATAGACTCCTAGAAATTAAGAGGCTGGAGTTTTAATCACAAGAGGAGTTTCAATTGAAGAGGCGAGAAATTAGCACCCGAATTCTGCATTTCATAAATTATTATTGGCTGTATTTCTGCTTCAATTCTTTATTTTTAATTTGCCAGAACAACAAATGCTAGCAGAAAAAGTTGCAGAATTTAGGAAACCTAAAATCTAAATTAATAATCGTTTTTAAAGGTCTACTTTCTTGTTGGTTTTTTTCAGCTTTCAAACTCTTTTCAGTCAAAATCCATGTGTTTAATATTAAAATACAGAACGCACTCCTTTGCAGCAACACATGGGACAAGTCAACGCTAAAAAACATGACATTTAAGGAACAAAAACGGGATTAAATGTATGATTTCACCGTTTTGGGAATTCTGCTGTATTCATTAAACGCACAAACTTAAAGGTCCCCTGTGGAGTTTTTTTATTAACGCTGTTTTCTTCTTCTGCTGATTTGATGGTGACTGCAACACACACAGGAAAAAAAGCAGAGAAGAAGACGGCATTTCCTGCTTTTCTCTTATGTCACATTAATGAGACTGTATTTAGGCATTTTAAGTCCACAGTTTGGACTTTTATTTCACTATTTTCTGACATTTTATCCATAAAATAAGCAGGTTAATCGATTAATATAACAAATGTAATAATCAGGTGCAGCACTACAGGCTAGAAAACAAATGGTTAATTGCTCTCAAATCAAAACCAATAAAATATCAGTTGAATAAAAACCAGTGTGTCGTAATTCTTTTTCTGATGTCCATGGTGAGTCTTTAACAAGTTGGGTATAAACAACTAAATAAGTTTGTTCAGGTGTATATCAGTATGTAGTGTCTCTGCTTTAAAGAGTCCTCTCCTGCTGATGTTCAGGTGTATATCAGTATGTAGTGTCTCTACTTTAAAGAGTCCTCTCCTGCTGATGTTCAGGTGTATATCAGTATGTAGTGTCTCTGCTTTAAAGAGTTCTCTCCTGCTGATGTTCAGGTGTATATCAGTATGTAATGTCTCTACTTTAAAGAGTCCTCTCCTGCTGATGTTCAGGTGTATATCAGTATGTAGTGTCTCTACTTTAAAGAGTCCTCTCCTGCTGATGTTCAGGTGTATATCAGTATGTAGTGTCTCTACTTTAAAGAGTCCTCTCCTGCTGATGTTCAGGTGTATATCAGTATGTAGTGTCTCTGCTTTAAAGAGTTCTCTCCTGCTGATGTTCAGGTGTATATCAGTATGTAGTGTCTCTGCTTTAAAGAGTCCTCCTGCTGATGTTCAGGTGTATATCAGTATGTAGTGTCTCTACTTTAAAGAGTCCTCTCCTGCTGATGTTCAGGTGTATATCAGTATGTAGTGTCTCTACTTTAAAGAGTCCTCTCCTGCTGATGTTCAGGTGTATATCAGTATGTAGTGTCTCTACTTTAAAGAGTCCTCTCCTGCTGATGTTCAGGTGTATATCAGTATGTAGTGTCTCTACTTTAAAGAGTCCTCTCCTGCTGATGTTCAGGTGTATATCAGTATGTTGTGTCTCTACTTTAAAGAGTTCTCTCCTGCTGATGTTCAGGTGTATATCAGTATGTAGTGTCTCTTCTTTAAAGAGTCCTCTCCTGCTCATGTTCAGGTGTATATCAGTATGTAGTGTCTCTACTTTAAAGAGTCCTCTCCTGCTGATGTTTAGGTGTATATCAGTATGTAGTGTCTCTACTTTAAAGAGTCCTCTCCTGATGATGTTCAGGTGTATATCAGGATGTAGTGTCTCTTCTTTAAAGAGTACTCTCCTGCTGATGTTCAGGTGTATATCAGTATGTAGTGTCTCTTCTTTAAAGAGTCCTCTCCTGCTCATGTTCAGGTGTATATCAGTATGTAGTGTCTCTACTTTAAAGAGTCCTCTCCTGATGATGTTCAGGTGTATATCAGGATGTAGTGTCTCTTCTTTAAAGAGTCCTCTCCTGCTCATGTTCAGGTGTATATCAGTATGTAGTGTCTCTTCTTTAAAGAGTCCTCTCCTGCTCATGTTCAGGTGTATATCAGTATGTAGTGTCTCTACTTTAAAGAGTCCTCTCCTGATGATGTTCAGGTGTATATCAGTATGTCGTGTCTCTTCTTTAAAGAGTCCTCTCCTTCTCATGTTCAGGTGTATATCAGTATGTAGTGTCTCTACTTTAAAGAGTCCTCTCCTGATGATGTTCAGGTGTATATCAGGATGTAGTGTCTCTACTTTAAAGAGTCCTCTCCTGCTGATGTTCAGGTGTATATCAGTATGTAGTGTCTCTACTTTAAAGAGTCCTCTCCTGCTGATGTTCAGGTGTATATCAGTATGTAGTGTCTCTACTTTAAAGAGTACTCTCCTGCTGATGTTCAGGTGTATATCAGTATGTAGTGTCTCTTCTTTAAAGAGTCCTCTCCTGCTCATGTTCAGGTGTATATCAGTATGTAGTGTCTCTACTTTAAAGAGTACTCTCCTGCTGATGTTCAGGTGTATATCAGTATGTAGTGTCTCTACTTTAAAGAGTTCTCTCCTGCTGATGTTCAGGTGTATATCAGTATGTAGTGTCTCTTCTTTAAAGAGTCCTCTCCTGCTCATGTTCAGGTGTATATCAGTATGTAGTGTCTCTACTTTAAAGAGTCCTCTCCTGCTGATGTTCAGGTGTATATCAGTATGTAGTGTCTCTACTTTAAAGAGTCCTCTCCTGGACTCCATGTGTTATAATGAACATGTGTATGTCGTATATTTAATACTTTTTCGAGAGTTTCTCTCTAAAGACAATTTATTTTGCATTAATATACAAAGTAAATGTGTTTTTGATGGTAAGGAACTTTTTATTCATTTGCATATGACTTATTTGTGCTCACATGTCATTTGACATATGGTGTTATTTTGTAAGTACGTTTAAAGGTTAAGTACGGTGGCCGACGGGTGCAAATATAATATATGACCAATAACATACGTTTTGGGGATTTTTTAATACAAAATCCTCTTTGACTGTCGAAGAAAGTCAAATTATTCTTGTCATCTAAAAATATGAAAGTGTTTTTGTGTTCGATAACTGGCCAAAGTTTTTTAACAGCAGATTTCAGGACTTTAACGATACGTCCACACGGCAGCGTGCGTTGCTTCAACGGAGACGCTTCCCATTCACTTTGAATGGGGTGACGTCACGCTTTGCCGAACTGCATTGTGGTTCCGTCGCTTTGCCTCCGTTGCTCGCTTCGAAAGTTGAGAACAGTTCAACTTTTCAAGCGACAACGGAATCAAATCATATGCCAGTACAAGCTCTAGCCAATCAAACCGCGAGATTGTGTGTCCGGGCGGGAGATTCATGTGATTGGTTGTTGGTCGCACGCCAGACACGCCCACCGGCAAGCTTCAACGCGACGCTGCCGTGTGGACGTACCGTAAGTGTTTGAAGTGTGTTTTAATTATGTTTTAATGATTGCTTTACTGTAAAGTGTCTTTGAGTTAAAGACTATAACTAAAATGCATTATTAATATTACTGTTAGGACAATCTGATCAAATATTGTGGCTATTTTTTTTGTAATTCAATTACATTCAAGATTCAGGTCTCTATCCTCTCAGTAGCTTCAGTGTAGATATGCCAATGGGAAACTGAAGTCCCGGCTCCTCCAACAGAGCAACATGAATATATATAGGACATAGAACAAATAAAACAGATAAAATAGTAAATGGGATATGATATATAGATAAATGATGCAATCAGATGAATGTTATGGATGTTCTTTAAAGAGTTCAGGTGTTTAGTAGTCTAATGGCCTGTGGGATGAAACTGTATTTAATAAAGAATAGTCTCAGACTGCAGGTAGCTGAAGTGAAATGACACATTTGAATAACTTGTATTTACAGCGACTCCACCTCTGTTTGAACTACTGTGTGTGTGTGTGTGTGTGTGTGTGTGTGTGTGTGTGTGTGTGTGTGTGTGTGTGTGTGTGTGTGTGTGTGTGTGTGTGTGTGTGTGTGTGTGTGGTGTGTGTGTGTGTGTGTGTGTGTGTGTGTGTGTGTGGTGTGTGTGTGTGTGTGTGTGTGTGTGTGTGTGTGTGTGTGTGTGTGTGTCTCTGAGGGTGTGTGTGTGTGTGTGTGTGTCTGACTGAGGGTGTGTGTGTCTGACTGACTGACTGACTGAGGGTGTGTGTGTGTCTGAGGGTGTGTGTGTGACTGACTGAGGGTGTGCAGGTGTGGTGCATCTCGAAAGTCGTCACACTTTCAGATTTTGAGATGGCAGTCTGACGATCGGCAGGACCTTTTCAAACTGAATTGAACAGCCGACTGAACAAAAGGAGAAGAAATGGGATTGAAGTAAAGGGAATAAATCTCTCTTCGTTAAACTCAGGTAGTGTTTTAGTGTTTTTATATCATATGTATCATGTGGTTGTGTGACTGTCGTTGTTTTTAGAGTTTGTTGAAACTCTCTCTCTGTTGTTTGAGTTTCAGACGCTTCTTGTTTCTGCTTCAATCCTTAAAGAAACTGCCATTTTGTTGATTTATTTTATCCCATCTTTATTTCCCTTAATGTTCAAACCTCTCTCTTCTTATTTTATTTTTTTACTTTTACCCCATATGTAGATTTTTTGTATTTCTTCTTCCAAACTTTCCCCATGTTTCTATATTTCCTTCCACATGTATTTGTAGAATACTTGATTATATTGAAGTATATTTTTACATTTGTTGAATAAGTGATTAACCCTTGTGTTGTGTTGGGGTCTCCCGTTTCAAGTTCAAATGATATAATAACTACGCTCTAGTTTTTTGTATCTGAACAAGGCTTCATGATATCCTCCACAGCAGCTATATAAACTCTACAAAACTGATTTTGTCAATTTTAGCCAAGTCTGAAGGTTTCTAAAAAAAAAAGTGTATAATTTGGTGTTGGGGTCTGGGAAGACCAAGCAGCATGTTTTGGGTGACTCAAGGTCAAATTTGGCCCAATCAAGATTCATCTTTGACTTTAGACACCCCTCCCCCCCCTTCATCCACTGTAACAATCATTTCAAACTTTTTTTGGGGAGATTGTATTCTAATAGTCTATTATATTCAGATAACGTAATGATCCACTGTCGTCACTATAGGAAATATAATGAGTGAATTGAATCACACATTTTACTTAAAGGGGACCTATCATGCAAAATGCACTTGTGTACGTCTTTTCTACATGAATATGTGTCCCCGGTGTTCCAGGGAACTCACCAAGTGTCAGAAAACACAACCCTCTCTATTTTCCTCCATACCCAAATCTCTAAAAAAGGGGCTGCAACGGATCTGATAAAAACTGATCCAGATTTGAACACTGTCCTGACGTCAGGACGGTGGCGCTACGGCTATTGGGCCAACTCCACCAATCAGGAGGAGACAGCCACGGCCATTGCCGTTCGAAAGCGCTGGAGACGCTGTAGTACATATGCCAGGCCTG